TATGGCCAACCGCTCCCCTGGGAGAAAAAGGTCAAATACTTAGGAGTCACTTTCGACTCGCGTATGTCATTTACTACGCACATTAATAACGTTCGCAATAGAGCCGCGTTCGTCTCCGGCCGGCTACACAATTTAACTAACGCAAAAAGTAAAATGCCCTTAAGGCACAAATTATTATTATATAAGACCTGCGTACGACCTATTATGTCTTACGCATGCATGACCTTCGCCCACACGCACCCTACTCGCTTGTACAAGTTGCAAATAGTACAAAATAAGTTCATCCGCCGCGCAACCGGTGCGCAGTGGTATCAACGAAACGTCGACCTGCACAGCGATTGCAGACTCCTGACGATTCGCGAATATTTTAAAGACCTGACCAAACGGTTCTTTGATAGAGCCGAACATCATCCCAACCCTCTGGTGGTAAACAAATTGGGTAGGCAAACAGGTAGGCAAATTACCAACCCGACAAAACGCGAACGTCAGTCAACAAGCGTCGCCCGCGAAACGTCCTAATCGACCCGGTCGAGGAAGGGAACTTAGACACGCCGGATCCACTGCCGGGGGCTCCCGCCGGACAACACTACACCCACAGTTAGTGCAACAACAAACACACTAGTTCGCCCTCGCCTCCGAGCACGGCGAGACCAACACAACGCGTACACAAGGTACACCCGCGTTCCGGGGCGGTTCTCGCCGCCCCCAGCCAACGATTAGCTAATTGCACAGTCGACGGCCATCGGGGTTTCGGTCCGAACCACGACCTCGATGGCCCACCATAGTTAAACGCACGCATTAGCAAATGTGTGGCCCTACCCACAGCGGAGGGCCCAAACCCGTGGGTTCTGGCTAGCCCACCGGTTCTGCGTCAGATGAAGCTTTAATAGTCTCGGGACTGAAAGCAAAAACATCAGTTAATACAAGATACAAGATATTAGATAATCTTTACATCAATAGTATTAGTACACATATTGAACTGACAATTTATTTATAACCTTGTTACCTACTTATAATTTACAATTTTGGAAAGCACACATCTTATGCAGTTGAAAATGTCTAAAATTATTATACCACTCATGGCATAATACTACAGATTGCCTGTTGATGAAGCAGACTTGACTGCACCAGACCAAACAGTGTCTTCTATTGCTTCATCCCTTCCGTCATCCATGGACTATGATGTCAATACTCTCAGGACAGAATTGATCAGACTAGGCTTCAATCCTGGACCTATACACGAAAATACGAGGACATTGTACTTGAAGAAACTACGGACACTCAAAAAATGCCCCATAGTTGTAAACAAACAAGGAAAAAGTAAGTGAAACTTTATTAAAACCTTTTTTATATTATTGCACATGTCAAAAATTTATTGTCATTTTACATTTTATATACCTATATTAATTATATCATTTTTAGTTATATTATTTTCATAATGCACAATATATTTAAATTAACAGTACAATTTGGAAGACTTATTCAATTGAGAGGTTTGTCTATAAATAAAATGTTAATATTGGTTGATGCTATTTTTATATTTATTTAATATTATTTAACGAAAATTTTTTTTTATGATGTTTTCTCTATCAATTTACAGCATACAGCATAGAATTAGAAAAATCTATAAGGGATGCAGATTGGTTAAACGACTTAACAGTGTATATAGATTTAGAAAGGAAAGCACGCGCAGATTTCGCTAATCCTAACAAAAAATGGCGCGAAGGCACAACTAAAACTTCTTTTACCTACCTCCTACTGGATCCGAGGCTCACAGGCAATTTACCAGTAAAAGCAAGCAAGCAAAACCCACATGAATCTTGGATCACATTCATCAACTCCATATTTTATGTAGGAAAAGGTAATGTGTCATTTTTTACATTACTTGATTATCAATAAAAATTAATATTTTTGTATTGTGTAGGTTGCAAGATGATAAAAGCTTTAATCCATATTTAAAGCCATATTTTCATTTGACACCAGTGGGGTTAAATGAACAAATAAAAATATCAGTATTTAGGTCATACACATACATAGAGGAAACACGATAAAGCACGTTTTTGTTATTTATAGCACAGCTCTACATTGAGACACTAACGAGTGTAATCAGAGCATTTGGTATCTAATCTTATATTTCAGGTAAGCGCTCCAGACCCTACTCGCACCTCTACCAGGCACTAACACTGTGGAAGAGAGACTTCAAAACGTCCAACGACAAAAAGGTTCAGCACATATTAGACATCTGGTCGGACAAAGTGGGCGTCATATGTCTGCACATATTCCAAAACGTGATTCCGGCTGAGGCCTTCACTTACGAGGCGGCAATGATCGACGTACTCGGTCTGCAGAATTTGAAGAACCTGAAGAGCGGGAATTATTACGGAGTGGCCGCTTCGTGGCCGCTGAAGGAGCGACGAATGCTCGGTCTGTACCTCTTGTACAAGGCAATGCAAATATTCCTCACCGAAGGGGAGCGGCAATTGAGGCCGGACGATATAGACTGAAGATAGAAACTGAATATTTATTAGGGAATACATTTGTATATTACGAAACGTAATAAAAACTCAGTATTACATTAAAGTGTATTAGATACCATAGATTAAAACTTGCCGTAGTTTACGTCACTTATTTTTATTCTATTTAAGCTTAGACATTATTCTGTACCTGTTGTGGATTTCTTTTAATAATAATTTCTGCTGATTGGAATCGAATAGTTATATGTTTAGCCAAAGACAATTACTCTTATTGATTTTTTATAAATGTCTTCGTAAATTTGTTTACAGCATTGTATAATCCTTTTTGCAGTATTTGTCAATTGACTTTAACGATAAGCTTTAATTTTATTTATTCACAATGATTTATAATTTAAATTAAGGTTACCATGAATTAGTAACTTTTTAACAAGCTTTTCCTAGTCAATTTTACTAAAACTACTAATTTTAGAGCATAATTTACATATGGTAATAATGTATAAGACATTAATATTAAGGTATAAAACAATTTACAAATAAAACTCATCATTAAGAAATAATTTATCTTTATTATTCCTTTTTAACGTCTCCAATTCTCTTCTAAGAAAAGCAATCTTTGCTTTAGTTACATCAAAAAAAATACACAAATATTGATATAGATACACACACAACAACAAAGTTGTGCAGCCAAACATTCGACCACTGACACAGTACAAATTAACGATAGAGCAATTGTCGCGCATTTGCATCGTTTGTATAGTAAAAAGAAAACTATCAGTCTATAATGTTTATTCCGTCAACAATACTCGAATGCTGCATGAGATCACGTAATTTACTCACAGAACACTCATACAAAATCATGATTCGAATATTACGAACGGGCAGGAAGCAATTACTTCGCTGTAACCAAAGTTATGCTTTAAACGTATTTTAATTTTATTTCGTTTGGATAACGAAAAGTAAGTAGAATTCGCGAGAATATTCGAATTGAATCTATAAATAAATAACATCAGAGAGCCATCTGCGTCTAAATGAAATTATTTATTTACCTTATCACAGAGTGGACAATTTGTCAACATCTCTCTATTAAATGAATAAAAATTAGAGCTTATTCATGTAATCTTTATTTAAGCATATCGTTATTTTTTAAATCTTTACTTAATAGCGTTTAAAACCGGCCGGCCGTTGTGTAACTTGATCGGGCCAAATTATATATTCGACTTAGATTAGGAAATACCAGTTTGTACTGAAGAAGCTCTAACTGTTTCAATTAGTTTTATAAACATTATTTAGGCAGTAGCATATTGATTTCGGAAAAAGCAATAGTTTTTAACATAAAAATTAAGTTAGAAATGTATGTTCGAAAACAAAATCACTGGTGGTTCGTATTTTTTAACGTTATCGATTCGTTAAATTTATATAAGTTAGGTATTTAGGCCCCACATTCTATATAAATATCGGTTTTGTTTATGAGACAGGTACACGCGTACATTGACTAAAATGTCATTAAATTATAGTGAATTAAACTACTCATATTTATGTAAATCACTAGTGTTATAAATGTTTCACTACTTAAGATGAAATTTTTGCTCCATCCTCTTGTCTCACACTGCTCTTTTATTAATAATTAGGAAACATCAAAATTCAGACACGAAAAATATTGCAACAGTCGCGTGAACGTACCGACTGGAAGACTAATTTTGTATGAAACAATACACCCACGCATTAATGAACTCGGTATATCCGGGAGTCCTAACCCAAATAACATTAAATCGTAAAATTGCTGTACTTAACTACCGTGCTGTACTGAGGGTACGGAGACACTAATCCTTTGAAATAGAGAATATTGGAGTATGAGATTTTTCTTTACAATAATCATTACAAGCCAGACATACAATACGCACAGCGATATTCAAACACTCCACGTTTCTATAGGATGCTCTCTACGTTATATATAAATAGTCGTCCCTCCCTCATCATTATCGAGACAAGAGTACGATTTGTGCACACTACGACTCATATTGTAATGATCACATTGACGCCTTCAAACTTACACTACCTTATTTTTTTTAATTTTATTAATCTAAGCTTTAAAACTAGGTATGCTTGCCTTCTCGTTAGTTTGTGGAATGCAATTTTCATTTGAAAGATATCAATATCGTAATCGTGAACTTGGGACAGGGGGCGCTTCGAAAGTTCAGTACAATGCCCAGGAGGAAATCAGAAATTCGATGTTTTATATTACAATTAAATCGCACGGGACTCTAATGTATGGTAATTTACATGTAACAACTAATATGTACATAATTAGTTTGTGCCTTTACTAGTTGACATATAAAAAGAAAACCAGAGACAGTCACAAATGGGGGACAGCGAGCGTATACCGTCCATACGCGTCCACACCTACAACGCATAGTCAACGTTCACAACATCCAATCGGGAGTCTTCGTAACACAACACTAAGACTTCGGGTAACTATCAGTTCGAACACACCTATAACATTCAAAGCGCACGTCACACTACACTTTACACAGTTCGCGCGAGATCACAGAGTTCAATTATGGCTATGGGATATAATGAAAGGTCAGTCGGGGGATCACTGAGTTCGACTTGTCCGTTCGCACCGTTCACTTCACGTGGTGCGTCACTGTCGGCGAGTGTCCTTCCGGGTTCCGTTGGCGATAACTCGCCGCTCTCGTCCGGTCCGTCAGTCGCCGCCCGGTGGCGGCTGCGCTGCGGCATTTCTCTCATAGAGGGCCCTCATCGGTGGGTTATTCCGCTCATTTAGGGGGTGTCGGGAACGAATTGACCACCGCTTGCGTGCTCGCTAACACCGCAGCCGCTGCAAAACACAATCCTCCATTAGTGCCTCTATCGCACCCTTGCCCGCCTCCACCCTCCTCAACTTTCTATGGTATTGGGCTCAAGAAGCGTCTCTCTACAGTGCAACTATACGGGCTCCGCGGGGCTCGACCGCTTATCTGCCGAATGCTATCGCGCCCCTGCAAGCAATCACATTACACACCGTTAGAAGCGATCTTTTTTAATATCGACGTTTGGAAGGAAAGGTGCAATCGTAAAAAGTCATTACACTGTTTAGTAATTCATATTAAACACATACCTATATCTCACCAAACATAACCAATACCTAGGTTGTGGTGTGGTGAAATATATGTGTAAGTAAGTAGCAATCATAGGAAACGATAGTAAAACTGCGATTGCGTATGTCAAAGTATGTACTATGCACCATTCTTATAAATTTTTGAGTATCATATTAATGGAAAACAAAGAGGGCGACAATTGCATTCAAAGGTATGCATGCATGTTCTGTAATGCATGTCTGTACACGTTGGCCTACAGGTACTATATATTTTACTCGTTCCTACTAATAAGACAATCAATCCGTCGGTCTCTAAACGAAATTCTCATCAGATCCTAGTTAGTATCCTTACATAACGGCGTATTCAAAGTACCAGGCACGCACGAATTCAAAGAGGCCGACTCACATGAATAGGGCGGCGAATAGATAGAGCGGGTAGCCGAGCCCGACAGGCGTGTGTACGTTACATAACAAGATGACAGGTACTATTTAAAGTACCAGGCGCGCATAAATTCAGAGGCCGACTCACCCGGACAGGGCGGCGGATAGAACGGGTAGGTAGCCAAGCCCGACGTGCGTGTGCACGTTACATAACAAGATGACAGTGACTATTTAAAGTAGCAGGCGCGCATAAATTCAGAGGCCGACTCATCCGGACAGAGCGGCGGATAGAACGGGTAGCTAGCCAAACCCGACGTGCGTGTGCACGTTACATAACAAGATGACAGTGACTATTTAAAGTACCAGGCCCGCATAAATTCAGAGAGGCCGACTCACCCGGATAGGGCGGCGGATAGAGCGGGTAGCCGAGCCCGACGTGCGTGTGGTGGTGAGTGTGCACGTGCCGCTGTGGCGGCGGGGAGCGGGCGCCGTCCTTGGGCGCCTCGGCGCGCGGGCCCTTTCCCACGGGCGACTTGGCGTGCTCCTGCAGCTCGTGGATTTTGTGGGCGCCGTGGGCCGCGTGGCCGCCGTGGCCTCCGTGGCCGCCGTAGTACTGGCCGGGCGGGATCAGCTCGAGCTTGCCGGGCGCCCCGGGCCGGGAGAGGTCCTCGGGCGCGTGGTAGCGGGGCACCGTCCAGCCGCCCCCGTAGCCGCCCACCAGCATCGGGCTCAGCGGCGCCCGGTACACGGGGTCGAAGGGCAGCGCGCCGTAGTGCGGCGGCTGCATGTACGGCGGCAGGTAGTACTGCGAGGTAGGCGGCGGCGGCGGGCCCTGCGTCTCCGTCGTCGGCTTCTGCCCCTCCTGCTTCACCTACAATCGGACACGATGGTGAGCGTCATGCGTAAAGCTATTGTTTCGTTAAAATTTGTTGAAAAAAGTACGAAGTCTTTCGCCGCTGAGGGAATCGAGCCGTCTTCGGGATTCGCAACAAATTTTCTAATCTTAAGTGCAGAGATATACACTATAAAAATTTAAATTGCCATTATTTCGTATTTAATAGGTCGATTTAGCCTTTATTGTTGCTAATCTTTATATAATAATTTAGCTTCTTTAGTATTAAGAAAACTGAAAATCTAGCTGATGGATTGACTTGATATGTGTTTACAACATAGCTGTTGAACAGGAGCGTGTTTTTATATACTTTTCATTCTGAAGTGTAGGAAAGGAAAATAAAACGACCGGGTTCAGCCAGTTTTGTATACACATTCTGTGGATATGTGGATCCTTTTCACGATTCTTTCATCCTTCCGTATCTTTTTGAATACAACATACAGCATTCATAGTCACCGGATAGATATTAAAGACGTCCTCACGAATGACGCATCGTATACACCAGTGATTCTCAACCACTGTGCCGCGGCACTTTTGTATGCCGCCAAATTTCAAAAGTGTGCCGCCAAATTTTGCAAATATATAATAATGTTAATATTATTAAATTCTATCATTTAAAAAGAAAACAATTTTTTGGCATTAGCCAACATTAAAACTAAAAAAAGATCAAGATTGTTAAATGTAGAAAACGATATGAGAGTAGCATTGTCATTTTTACGACCAAATATAAATGAAATTATCAAAAAACATCAAGCTCAAATTTCGCATTAAAAATATTTTTATTATTAGCTTGTAATTAATCCCTTAATAAAAGTTTAGTTATTATTGTAATATATATTAGTTTATTTCGTATATTTAAAATTTTTATCATAAACTATTTATGCAGTGTGTTGTAGTAAGTAAATAATTTTTATCTTTTTCTTTGTGTGCCGCCTAATTTTGAAATCGTTTAATATGTGCCACAACAAAAAAAAGGTTGAGAATCACTGGTATACACAATTCATAAACTAGGCTGCTAAAGTTTTCGGGCGACCCCGGTAATTTTTTCGGATTCATATTTAATGTGTGGAGTTATTGTATGTTAAATGTACTATATACAACTCAGTTGCAGCATGTTCCTACAAGTGTTTTGAAGTAAAGCATAGAAAAAAAACCGGCAAAGTGCGAACCAGACTTGTGCACGTAGAGTTCCGAACCATTATCTATGAAAACGGCAAAAAAAATCATGTCTGTTGTATGGAAGCCCAACTTCAATAGTTTTTATTCTGTTTTTTTAGTATTTGCATTTTACAGCGGCAAAATAAATATGAATCATCATGTATTGTGTACCACTAGGTACGGAACCCTAAAAATGAAATAAGATCGGAAAATGTACCAGGGCAACATACCTTGACATCCTCTTTGGGTTTGTCATCTTTGTCCTTGGACGGGGGTTTGTGTGCGGGCTGAGGGGCGCGGGGTGGTCCCGCCGCCCCTGGGCCCCCCGCGTTGCCAGGAGGTCCCTGGGGTCCAACAGGCGGCCCCCCGGATTTAGGATCGCCCCCTTCCTTGCGCCTCTGCTCCAAGCTCATGTAGTATCTAACAGTTAATTGCCGTGTAAATATTTTCACTCGTCATATCCAAAGAAAAGGATTATTGCAATCTGTTAAAAGCTAAATAAGTCACTTAAAAATCCATCTGACCTATACTACAGATATCAGTGCACTTATGTCGTATTTGTCAGCTGTATTTTGAGAAATCGTGAAGAAAAAAATCCTAAATAAAAAACTATTTTTTTTTTCGAATTTTTCTTAATTACTTTCGAAATAATAACCAAAAAATAATAAAGATAATATGTGACCAATCCGCAGTGGTTGATGCTCCAATACCCCTCTCTACAAAAGAGGTAATTGCTAATATTTTTGACATAATTATGTAGCCCATACTTTTGTCGTAACTGTAGGCTGCCGCTTTACTTTTTTTTTGAAAACTAAAAACGATCATCGCTCACCTCCTCAGCTCCTCCTCGCGCGTGTGCGGCGGCCTCTGGAACGCGTAGGGGCCCATCTGCGCCTTCATCTCGATGCTCTCCTTGAGTATCTGGTGGTTCTCGTTGGGCCGCGCGGGGTTCTCCTTGCCGTCGGGCGGCCGCGGCTTGCCCTTGTCCAGGGGGCTCGGCGTGCTCTTCGAGCGGTCGGGCTCCGGGTGCGGCTTGCCCTTGTCCTCGACGGGGGCGCCCCCCGGCGGCCCCTCCACGTTGTACGGAAAGTTCGGCACGTAGTTGTACGGGTAGAAGTGCTGCGGCAGCACCTTCTGCGGGCCCCCGTCCGGTTTCACGTCCTGCAACGATGGCGGTGTTATCGATTGCCGCGTTATAGACAGAGGGCAGTGGTGATGCCGTCACAACTCTCCTCCTTTTTTCTACATAGGAGTATTACAGTCGCTTATTGATAGGCAAAATACTACCACCGGTTCGGAAAAAAAACAAATATATATCACTAAGAAAATAGTGACCGAAAAACTTCATTTTTTAATCATAAACTTTATTTATTAAACATTATTCATTTATTGTCTGCGGCTTATAATAATAAGTTTAAACTCATCATTTTGATTCCACTTGAGCTAGTTCACACCGTGAAATTCCCTTCGGTGAGTTAAATTATTATATTATAATACATTATCCGATTTGGTAAGCCCTAGTTTAATTTTATTTATATTAAAAAGTTTATCGAATTCAGATGTTCTTTTCGAAAATTGAAATAATTTCTTCCGTTATAATTATGTTTTTAAACGAAATTGTTACCTACTAATCATAGACAAAGAAATTACTCGTGTAAATACTACGCTTTGGCAATACAAATTACAATTGACAGTGGTAGTTCCATGCAAATGCTTCTACTATTGCACTAATGGGTTGGCTTGTCCCGGTTAGTCCACGGCCTTACAGAAGATCGGCGGGAAGTGTTATTATATTTTCTTTTTTCGTTTGTTGAATGATTGATCGAATGCTCTTTTCACAAAGGTTCTCATGTTCTCAACTTATCTGCGAGATCGCAAGTGTTGTAAACCCATGAGCGGCTATATCACTCAACAACAGCTGACATCACTTAACCGCCTGCTCGATTTACATAATTTCACATAAAAGAAATTACCTTCAGATCGGACTTGGGATCTCCTTTGCCGAGATCCTCCTTGGACTTATCGGCGCTCGGCGGTGGCGCGGTGGGTGGGTGAGTCGGCGGCAAATACTGCGGCTGCCCGTAGTACTGTCAAATGGAAGACATTATTGACTAGCTGCTACCCGCGACTACGTATAATAGGCTGAAGACGTAACATTCAGACAGAAAGACATAAGATATACATAAAATATGTATATAAATTGTAGCCTATGTCTTATTCCGGTGTATAAGCTATATTATTGTAAAGTTTCATTAAAATCCATTCAGTAGTATTTGCGTGAAAGAGTAACAAACATTCATCCATACATACAAACTTACGCCTTTATAATATTAGTAGGATCGTTTCGTAGAGTGATGTCGCATCGTTTCAATGCGTCACTGACGTGTCTTCAAGCACGCTACAGTATGCTGATATAGAAACGCTAGTTAATTGATATTGCCCTCTCGTTTGCGCCACAGTCGAAATCGCTTCCCGTCCTGCTCCCACTACATCAGTGTTTTACAAAAAGTGATGATATTCGGTTTGGTCATCACATTCTTAGAGATTCGATTGTCCTATAGCAATAAGTAGATTTTTGTACTCGGGACGTGTAGATGTCCAATTCACGCAATAAAATTTCACAATTTATAGAGTTATCAGGTAAATAAAAATTATAGTAATTGTTTCCGACAGTTGATTCAACGCGAGATTGCAGGTAATTAGTTGTGAGTAGTAACACCTTTTTTTTAATTAGCTTTACTAGCGTGTATTCAACAAGGTTTATCTTTAGTTTTTTTATTTGTACTTGATGCTAAAAGTTTTGTATAGATGTTGTAACATTCGCGTTGTAACAACAAGAAATCATTATATACACGCTTATTGACCTTTGGCGGGAAATGCACTAAAATGACTTGTTTAATCGTTGCAACGTGTTTAATAGTTGAAGTTAATCACAAGGTCGATTTAACAGTTCGTCAGGTATACGCCGTTACGCTACTGTGGGCTCTGTCTCAAGGTTGCCGAGCAACACTCATCCGTCGCCCAAAGATCATTGCCCCAAAGCTTTTAACTTTTTTTTCACATAACTTAAAATTTGAAATGGCTTACCAGATATTTTACATTACATAGCTGGCAATCCGGCTAATATAAATGTTTTTTACACCGCCAAAGATCTTATCGAAATTAATTAAATGAATTAAATCAAATTTTACGGTAACGTTCCAAGACCGTTCTCGTTCCCAATAATACGTAGAGTGGTGACCCTGATGTGACCTGATTGTTAGGCGAGGAAGGGGTGACGACCGGAGTACCAGGGGCGCATAAGCGCGCGCGAGTGAATCTGATGGTGAACGGTGAAGGGGCGACGACCGGAGTACCAGGGGCGCATAAGCGAGCACGAGCGAACCTGATGGTGAACGGTGAAGGGGCGACGACCGGAGTACCAGGGGCGCATAAGCGCGCGCGAGTGAACCTGATGGTGAACGGTGAAGGGGCGACGACCGGAGTACCAGGGGCGCATAAGCGAGCACGAGCGAACCTGATGGTGAACGGTGAAGGGGCGACGACCGGAGTACCAGGGGCGCATAAGCGCGCGCGAGTGAATCTGATGGTGAACGGTGAATGGGCGACGACCGGAGTACCAGGGGCGCATAAGCGCGCGCGAGTGAATCTGATGGTGAACGGTGAAGGGGCGACGACCGGAGTACCAGGGGCGCATAAGCGCACGCGAGCGAATCTGATGGTGAACGGTGAATGGGCGACCGGACCAGGGGCGCATAAGACTGATGAGTACCCGGAGGGGCGCATAAGCGAGCACGAGCGAAATCTGATGGTGAACGGTGAAGGGGCGACGACCGGAGTACCAGGGGCGCATAAGCGCGCGCGAGCGAATCTGATGGTGAACGGTGAATGGGCGACGACCGGAGTACCAGGGGCGCATAAGCGCGCGCGAGTGAATCTGATGGTGAACGGTGAATGGGCGACGACCGGAGTACCAGGGGCGCATAAGCGCGCGCGAGTGAATCTGATGGTGAACGGTGAATGGGCGACGACCGGAGTACCAGGGGCGCATATGCGCGCGCGAGCTCACCTGATGGTAGACGGGGAAGGGGCGGTGACCGGGATCGGCGTCGGGCGCACCCTCTGGCGGCGCAGCGTCGTCGGAAATGTCCGAGTACGCGGGCGAGCGCACGCCCGGCGTGGGCGACCGGCGCGCCCGACGCTTACCGGGCGACTCGGCCGGTGGCGACTCCGTGGATTTCCGCTCCTCAGACGGCATTAGTGCAGACCGCGGCTTCACCTGCAACGTGTAACACAAGCAACATTATATAAGACGTCGAATAATATAAACTGTATAACTAACGCCCGGTTTCTGAAACAATGATCATCGTAGATATCAACTATCATTCAGGTCATTAAGAAGATCATTCTGATCAATTCAGAGAGTTTAACAATCCTTTTGGCAACTCAAATAACATATAAAAATCAATTTGACAGTTCTCAAGTTGACATCTACGATGATTCTGAAACACTCATCAGAAACCGGGCGTCAGTGTCCGAGCTCGTTTTTAATTTAGTACACTCGAGCGACCTGAGTTCAAATCCTGGTGAGTTAATGAGGAAACCTAGATTTATTCGAAATAATAAACATTCGAAGCCCTCACATATTAAGTGTACTGAGTAATCTACAGTGTATCTCTGTATAGAACAGAAACGCTTGCAATCACTGTGTCTTTAAATTGAACTGAGAGTGCAAATATCGCTTATACAAAAAAATCTGAGTTAACGAAATCGAATAACGACTCCATTCGCTACTATACACCGACGTGTAGTGGGAGCAAGACGGAGAGACATTTATATTACGGTGAAAAGAGTGGGGAACACTCTGCAGCGGAACGGACAAAAAAGGACAGCTTTAGATGCAAGTCGCGTTGTACGCCGGTAAAGGTTATTCAGGCAGTAAAAAATTCAAAGTTTTATGACTGAATTTTACACAGTTTATGAGGCTGGTTGATCTAAAGCCATTTGATTAAGAATTTGAGCCATGCTGCTTTTATATGACGACCCGAATGGCGTAGTGTACCTGCCTCCTGCGTCAGAGGGTGTGGGTTCGATCCCCACTACTGGAAAAATATTGTGTGATGAACATAGTGTTTTTCTAGTGTCTGGGTAATATGTATTTATTTACAAAAGAAAAGTATGTTTAAGTAAGTTTATCAGTTATTTAGTACTCAAAGTACAAGCGTTGCTTAGTTTGAGCCTAGAGAACTTTGTGTAAAAATGTGTCCTAATTTATTTTATTTATTTATAAAAACTGGTGGTGCTCACATAGTTTACCACCCCAGCCTGAAGCTGTAAGGCACAAACTCGTAATCTTAATAGCGGATCAACAAACTGAAATATTTGTTGAACATTACGCTTTTCTAAAATCTTTTTCAAACTCCAAGCTTACATACTAAATTCGAATAATAAATGGAAAAAAAAATCATTTTAAATATCAGTCGAATCGATTGCATATTCATGAATAAGATAGAAGGCGCCATTGCATTGAATTGAGGCCATTCTACTGATAAACTAGAGTTATTAATTACATTATCTTTTATAAATGTTACCCTTGACCGAGAGATTATTATACCATAGATAAATTATTACCTTGCTCGGCAACAACGCCGGGCTCGTTATCGAACGTTTAAAATATTCATTAAAAAAATTGAACATACTAAGAGATATTATAGCATGATTAGTAAATGGAATTGAATAGAAGTGATACCTTAAATTGGGTCGGTTGCAGCGTTTGGAGGGGAGGCAGAGCTTCGGGTGGGGGCGTCGAGGGCGCGGGGGGCGTCTGCGGGTGCTCGGGCGGCGGCGGGGGCTCCGGCGTGGGTGCGAACTCCTCATTGAACCTGGGCTGCGGCGACGCCTCCACTGTCTCCGGTTTCTCGGGCGACTTCTCCGGGGACTTGTCGCTCTTCGCGTCCGGCGACTTGGCCGGTGTGGGGGACTTAACGGGCGTGGCGGGGGTGTGTGGCGCGGAGGGCGGCCGGGCGGGGGACGCCGGCTCGGCGGTCGGCTCCTCCAGCTCGGAGCTGGACTCGTCCTTGTCTTCGTCGTCGGGCGAGCCGTGCGCGTGCGACCGGTGGTACTTGAGGCCGTTCGCGTGCTTGTACTTCTTCGAGCAGTTGGGCTCCGGGCACTCAAGGAGCACAGGGTCGGGCGGGGGCGATGTGGGCGCGGGCGGGGGGCGCTTCGCCTTCGGCGTCGGCGGCCGCTCCTCCGCGTCGGAGGCGCGCTTCCGCTTCGAGTCCGGCCGGGGCGGCGTGAACGGCGTCGGCGAGGGCAGCGCGCGGCGCCCCTTCGCCCCGCCGTTGCGCAGCTTGCTGTGCACCGAGGAGCGGGTCTCCGTGAAGTTGGTCATGTCCGTGGGCGCAGCCGCCCTGCCGCGCTTGGCCCGGCCCTTCGGCGTCCTCGCGTCCAACTCCTCCGTGGGCGAGTCGCAGAATCTGTTGCCAATCGGACGGCGGTGATTAAATCTTGAATTATTAACCGACACACACGTAAACGGATTCCGATGGGAGTGAAACTAACCTCGGGGGCGCCCAGTCGTGTCGCGTGCAATCCAGCAGCGTGCCAACGTACGTCTTCCCCCGCCATGTTACGTTCACCACCAGGACACCTGGAACAGAAACGGAGCAAAACGTTACGCGCGTTCACGCGCGCCGTAAACGTGTGCAGACGTGGTGATTTTTTTCAATGTTCCGCCTTGCGGCTTACACAGAATGCGGGTGTGTTATTAGCGTCGGTGAGAGCGGTCCCGATCCAATTTGTCACGGGAGCGCTCATTTGCATAGGGGATGGCGCCGGGGGTGGGGAGACGGGGGTCGCAGTGAGCCGAGGGCGAGGCACGAACGTGACTTTAGCCGCATATTTAGAAACACCCGTGTTACTTTAAAGCACCCCTGCTTATCGCGCTAGCGTGGTAACTTATGCAAATTTAATTAATCAATTTCACCCCCCGTATACGTGGTAGCATGATGTTACTTCTACAACCATAAAATTCTATCGGCATACATTCCCTTATCGCGAGAACTTCATTACGAAGATTATAATAAAATTCTTTATGTAAATAACCAATAAAGGTGAAGTTTAATTTTGAAAAAGTAGTAACTTTGCGGTTTTAACCCTCTTTTTATAGTTAGTTATTAAAGAACAATCATAAAAGAGGTGTAAAAATTAAATTACTCGTTCGGTTGTTTGCTAAGTATTCAGAATCTTTAAAGCATTACCAAATAAAGTTTTGGAAAAACACTTAAGAATTTGGATCTTCTTAAGTTTTTAATCGATCCATTGATTTTATATAACACATTTATTCATCTTGGTCTTGGTTTGCATGGACCAAATAATAATAAATAATAGGATATAAACAAACTAAAGAACGAAAAGTGACATTTTGAATAAAAATCTAATGTTAGACTAAACAAATCTATACATACACAACTACGGATATACACTCTGTTTACAAAACAGCTAGATAGTTTATATATCTCGTGAAATAATAAATCATAGCCTCAAAGCCTGCTTAGTAGCCGCTTCGTGCGCAATATCTCAATAACTGCGGCATTATTTATTGTTTCACGAAACAATGAACACATAAAGCATTTCTCTATAAGCCATTAGCATAAAATGAGCGAGAGATTTAAAAAGGAGAGTCATTGCTTTAAAGTTCGATCCGGCGACACTTTTACAATAATAACGCATTTCGGTTCGACAAAACAGTTTCTTTCAAAATAGGAATAGAAATTGAATTTCTATTGTATTTATTCCGAATATCAACGATAAAATAAAGACTAGGAGAATATAAATTGAGGGCTTAAACTCTCCTGACTATTCGAGATAAATAATATTTATTTACACAGGGACGGCTCTTGCCGAGGACGACGGGCTAACAAAAAACCAACGAATAAAGACCTTTGAGCCATAGCGTGAGACCTCTATTCGTCCGCCTGTCGCCAACAGCACATCCAGAAAATGTAATTTCGTAAATAAAGACCGAGAACAACACACTATACAACTTTTTATTGTAACAGACATAAATAAAATACATTATATAGAAATGATGTTCGTTTGTATTATTTTTAATAATATGATTTAGCAACAAGTGCATTTTTTGTAAAATGCAAAGTCAACAAGAATATTATGCAATTCCCCCTATTTTTAAGTTCTAATCACTTTAAAAATAAAACAATTTATGATATTATTTAATTTATTTTTACCATGCAAATAAAATAAACACCCATCCTATGATGGGAAGTATTAATTACTTGGTCATTGACAATTCGAAAGCTACCAGGACAACCGCGGACTGTAATGGGTTCATTTAGGCGGCGCTAATTATACCTTGGGCCGCAGTAATCAACAGACTAATGGCTGTCAAGCTCTGCTCCCCTAGTCGCTTTGAGTTTAGCCCTCGCAGTGTTAACGCTTCCGTAGTTTACACTAATTATTTTAACTGTGTTTTTGTAGCAAGGGTCTCGGAAAATTCGTTCAAAGTAAACAGAAATCAAAGGCGAATTTATAAACGTGCACGGAAGCTGGTTCCGTGTAACATGTGGCCGACCGACTTAGTTACACGCTAGATGGGAGCGCAAACAGAATAGGTAAGGGGGCGGTCCGCTCTGCGAGATCTAATCAGAGCCGGCCTTTGTTTCCCACAGTAGAGCAAACAACGTTCGGGGGATTTTATTAACGCACCGCTACATCGTCCGTAAAGTAAACTTTGCACTCTTAAAAGCATCTCCGCGCGAACGGGAGTTAATTAGCGAGTGAATTATTCACCGCCGGCGGCCGGACTCGAGTGCTGTTACACTAAGTGTCGTTACAAGACATCGGCTAATGAGAGAGATAACGAAACAAGAAATGAGTTCGCTAATTAGCGAATTGGTATGCGACACCGCCGTCGGGCCTCTCGTCCGCCGCTAACCGTGAAATTGTATTTTTTTATGTCGCTACGGCCGGCCAGTGGGGATAAAGCTCGAGAAAATGGTTTTCGCGTGCACATGGCGAGGTCGCAATGAAATTGATGCAACAACTCCAGGTAGCCTTTCCTTGTTTCAAAGCCGACGTTTTGAATAGAAGAAAGGTGAAGGGAACTAGAGACAACCTATTTATTACATTAACGAAATCAATAAATTATATAAAGTTTTTTTACCTACTTTATTTAAGATAAGATTTACACTTATACACAAATACTATTTACTGTATTATAGTTTGATTTATTTACTTTCACTTATTCATAAATAAAAACGCACCAACGTAAAATACACACATCAAACAAAAATCATACTAATTATTATTTAACTTAATTGATCAATTAATTGTCCATCTCTATATGAGTATTATATCAAAATGTTTCTCGGTACGGTACAAATGTATTTCGTTTAAAGTTCCCACTTTAACTTTACCCGTTTTACAGTATGCGTGTTAATTTAGTAAGCAAGCAGGGCCCACTTTAAAACTGCTACTAAAATAGATTTGGTAGGGCGTCAATTGCCTCCTCCTGCGCGCACCGCCGGCTGACCCGACCGGATAAATTTGGATAGCAGCAACAGAAGCGGGCAGATGGTGATTTATTATCGTATTTTATAATAATTACGCGCGGCGTCGAGGGAGCGGCCTTTGTGAGGCGCGGGGCCGCCGGCCCTCCAACGTTCGCTCTGTCGAGCTCAAATAAGTCCAATTTTACCGCAGATTTCATACAATCACGTTCCATTACTTAATATCGAATTGATGTTAGCGCTTCATATCGTTGATAGCGGAAACGTCCATTTCCAAAACATGTAATGATAACGATCGGACATAACAACACCGTTTTAAGTAACCTTTAATTTTTTTTATTATAATACAGAATAATAAAAATGTGCAGTGTAATGCACAATGCCATTCCTTGACACCTACTGCAATATGTCCATTAAAACATAAAGAACGCCCATACAATATTTCATATAAACGACGGCGACAAGGAATGTTTCGCCTTAAAAGGCAATCCCGAAAAGATAAAACGGGGCAGGTGAGAATTAATTGAAAATTAAAACTGAACCGATTACATTACCCATTCCATTTTTCAACCGCTAACGAGTTAAAAGCTATTTGATACGGCGAACATAAAAGGCATAAAGGTTGTAGCTCTCTCGTGGTATGCTTCGTATGGGGGGATTATTAATATTCCGCGATGCTATCTGCCGCTAATAAGCACGAGGTAATTATATGGGGACTCTCATCGACTCTACTGTTTATGTGCGCCATGAATATATTAACATTAATCGCAGCTCGGGGATTGTATGCTGTAAATATAAAGCCCCGAGAGAGAGAAGGACGGTTACGACCGCTATGAAAAACGAACTTGGACAAAAAAGGTTTCGAGTGCGTTCCGTTATCGCTATAAGCCAGGTGTTGTAAAGTAAATTATTATTGCTCTTTTAAAATGGTCGTTCGTGTTTATTGTACATATTATGAAAGCATTTTCGTAGGTCGTAAGTCACTTTAAGTAATATTATGTTTAATAAGAATTTATTTTATATACTTATTAATGTTAATTATAAATCCTAAATAATACGATTATAAGGTATACGTATAAAAAAAGAACATAAGGCAACTTTGTTTTAAGTATTTCTGTTGTATTCTGATCCGTATAATAAATATATCGTTTAAATTTCGAGAACATCATCGATAATGATTATCTCCTTGTGCATTGATAAAATATTAATATGTTTTGATTAGGCAGACGTTTTTGTCCGTTTTGCAAACTGGTTTTATATAATAATGGAATTGATGAAATAGATAAAAAATGTAACTTAAAAAAATGAATAAAAACGATGGATCGCGCAAGCCGACACATTTACCAGGCGTGCATAAGCGTGCTGTGAGTATGAGGCGCTGCAGTGCGTTGCTTCGTGCGCTTAGTAACAACTCACCACCTTCCGTTTCGTGCCACACGATGCCCTCCAACGTGACCGATGTACCAGGCTCGCAGGGGCCCAAGCAGTCGGGCTCCGTGATGGTGCCAACTGACGTGCCTACGCACACTTCTGCCGTTTCCTATAAATAACAAAAATAACTGTGTGAAGACAAAAACGATTATGTCGGCTTCTGTTATTCCGTAGAAAATAGATTTATGAGCGCAATTATCACCTAATTTATTTTAAAATAAAACAAAACATTGGTTTATTCTATTATTTGCTTAGGTCAGTTATAATAATAGTTATTGACGACGATTTTAGGTAGTTGACACAAACAATTTTAATGCTAGTTAAGACGCCGTTACGCTTTCTATGAGAAAATGGACGTAGAAATTACAAAAAGTATACAATTTGGTTCATAGATATTTCTTTTATGTTCACAGATGTAACAAAAAAGATCAATAGGAAAAAATTGCCGACTTATTTTTTTTATATAGTTTCGATTCTTTATTGTTATTCCCCTCTATATTCCTACACCCTAAAGTAACAGAATAAGAGGTATAGTTGTTACGCAAAATGCACATATCCCTCATCTGACTAGTGATTTATTTACCAATTCCAATCTCACAAGGTAAACTTTTTAATTTACTATTAATTAACAGTGGAAACATAACTGAAATCCGAATAATTATTTAGATAGCGTGCCATGGAATACAAAATCCGGTCGGTAAAGGGCTTTGTTGATTATTCATTAGCAATACAAAATACAACACGTCATCTATAAATATTAGTAATCAAACATTCCGGTCCCATTTTCCTAAAAACGTTAATATTTATTTCATTTTTCCATTTCCGTAAAACATTTACGTAACACATACTGAACCTTTGTGGGATTGTATTCAACCCTCGTGATTAGTCATTACTTAAGTTAGAATATTTAATTCATTTAATTTTCTTCTTTAATTAATTCAAAATTAAATTTGGGATATATTACAAATGATTCTGCAGCCAAACTTAATTTTTTTTAACTAAAATTATCTTTTAGACTACTTTTTTTTAAGCGTTACAAACGTCTTTGTATACCAACCCATTCGGATTGCATAAATGCAAAGTACGTTTACGGCACGGAACATAATCAAATGAAGCCATTTACATTCAGCGGACGATATGCAAACAGTACGGAAATATCGTCCCATCCCGCTCACGCACATGGCTAATGGCGTCGCAAATTATGGACAAGCAATTCACTGAATCCCTAGATATGTCGACTTCCAAAGCATTACTATCGGAAAAATAACAAAATTTTATGTGAATTGCCTCTTGCTCGTTGTCTTAAATATGAAATGGTCACTGGAACTTACTGCCAACTCGTTTATGTACCGAGAATTGCGTGGATTTTTTAATATTTTTGGCCGAAAGGTTCGATCGAAAAGGATACGATCAAAATTATATGAGATATTTAATATTTATGCAAAGAACGATGATCACTTCTGTATTGAGAACATTTCCTAACTATCCAAAAACTTAACATAAAAAAAAACCTAAGAATTGGATTGAGAATTAATTTATTATTCCGTTTAAAGCTCTCAATTTATGTTTATTCAACAACAAACCTAATGTTATCATTTCAAAAACCTCGTGTATGTATGTCTATAAATATTACTCCAATGTGTGAGTGACATAATTTATAAGTATTAGAAGGGATCATGATAGATATTTATATTTTATTTCGAAAAAATACGAAGTATACTAAAGTAAAAGCTGACACATACGTGACACTTACGCAACTTTAACTTATTATAAACTAACTATATCCAAAATTCAAGTTTAAAAGGCTATCTAAAAGTTGAATTTGGGAGAGAAAAAAATTATAATAAAGAGAAAAAAAAACATTGTAACGATAAAAGGAGCATGTATTTATAGCAAAATACAATAATAGTAACGACACGTGTAAAAAATTGACGGTTAAATTTATTCATCTCAATTTCACAATTACAATAACAATCTGTATCTCTAGATTAGGTATTAAGTTACTCGAGGAGAGATAATGGATGACATCATACCCACGCGCGCATTATAAATAACGTTAAATGCTTGATTGTTAGACGGATGACAAACGTGCGATCCTACGCCCACGCCGCGTCGCCGGAGACAATACGGAATTATTCGTGCAGTTGGCCCGCAGACGTATTAATATTTTGACACGCCACGTCGCCATAGGATCCTTTATGGGAGTTGCGCAACGTTGCAAGCGCAGCCCTGCGGGCGTCCGGGAGGCATTGTGATACGGCGAGGGGTCGCCCGCTAAGTTATGGGCGCCTAGTCCGTACATTGCAAATACGAGGGGAAGCTGCCAGCTGCCGCGTATAGACTACTAGACTTGAGAATATTGAAATAATCTCTCTAGCTGTGTAAATGTTTAAAAAATTAAAACCTATTCACGACTGAACAACAAAATTATCCGTAAAATCAAAATCAATGTTTATTCAATTACGAGTAGGAGCATTACACTCGCTTATTGATAGTCAAAACACTACCACCGGTTCGGAAAAGAAAGCCACTGTACTGAGAAGAACCGGCGAAAGAAACTCAGCGGGCATTTTTTTTAAATATAAGCAGTTTGACATGAATTCATTAAAAATACAATATAAGGACTCTGAATGAAAGAGCCTGGAGCGATCAGTTCATTACCAGAGTGTGTTATCATTTAAATAATCATTAATATTATAGTAATAGCCTTTAACACACAAACGTTCTTTTACTATTTTTTTAAATTTAGTTATTGATGCATTTTGAACGTTTTCTGGAATTTTGTTGTAGTAACGTATACATTGTCCCATAAAAGATTTACTTATTTTGCGCAGCCTACTTGTGGGTAGAAAGGTAGAATTAGTTTTTAGCCAATGATTCTTGAATCCATAAGGTTTTTTGTTTTAGTCTTTTCTATACGTGTCACTTAGCGGCAATTAATTTTGTCAACCCAAATGGCATACGGCCATCAGCAATTCATCGACTAACACCCACGCGAAAAATCAGGTAATAATGTCTCCTCTACATGACCGATGAGTCATAATACTAAATACTACATGTAATCTTGTTCGTGGCCATCATAAATCGAAGACAGGGAAATCTGGAAATTTGGCAACGGAACTGGTGGACGGAAAACGATTTCCGACAATGTTACAGATTTATAATGCACTAAACGAGCGGATATTTATCATTCGAGCAATTTTGAAAAAATGCCACGAACACACGAATGCCTTATGGTATCCTGATACTTGGGTCATGATATAATCCAAAACCATAAAATTAACCAATATTATTTCTATCTATCTCTATCAATTGCCTTTGAGTCATTCAAATTATATATTTATTGTACAATGAGGCAAGTTGAATCTGCAAGAAGTAAGAGAAAAAGGAACAAAAATATCGACCATGTTACAAGACATTTCTGATTACCAAAGAGTTAAAGAAAAGTGATTTATTTATTCCAATGATAAATAAGTTCCAATCCACGCATAAAATTTACAATAGTAAAACACTGTCATTAAGAAAAAAATATTATTATTATAACAGGCAATAAAAAAGAGAGAAAACTACGGTCAACGCCTTGACCTACTTGAAATCAATATAAACTGAAGCCAATGAAGTTGACTTCTAAAATGTCAGTTTTTATTGTTATTTATGGCTAAAGTGATAATTTCCAGTTCTGCAAAAATAAACCAGACAAGCATTTGTCCACATATATATATGAAAAAATTTTTCTTAGGCTGTTATGTCATTATTTAGCAAACACTTTTTAGTTTTGTTTTACGTTAAATGAAGTGGGAGTAAGCGAGGGCGGAATTGAACATATAAAAGTAATAAATACGTTAAAACAACAATAAAGGCCGCTTGTCAGCCGAGCGGGGGACCCTCCTCGACTTTGGCGCTCCCGAAACTAATTAGATTGGTATAATTCGATTTCATCTCTTATATTTAATATTCGTATATTCTTAAGGCCTTATCGAGAATAAATACTGCTTGTAGAGTGTAACTTAACTGTAGTAATAGTGTGAGAGGGTTTCGAAAATGATTAAACGTGTCTGATTTTCACTTCGATTCATTCAAAATGCGAGATGGAATCTGATTCATCTTTTAGAGCATTGGTCTCTCCGATAGAAAGGTTTCGTATAATATTATTTTGTATTTTATGTCGACTTAACATTAATCTTCAACGTGTATACTTAACTGTGACATTTTACACGAGTAAACACAAAGGAGGCAAGGCAAACAAGGAATTTCGACAAAAACAATGTTTGCGAACACGAAACCCCCCGATTTTCGAAGCTCAAATATTAATTAAAAACAAAATCCCTTTGTACGAGGCGTGGGTCGTAGTAATTGAAAGCGAAATAAACGTAACGATTTCAAGCATTCGATTGTAATTGGGGCCGAATGATGATATTTAAATATAATTTACGCGGCATTAAAGTTTTTAGGACGTTCGCGTTGAGCGCCTCGACATCGCCTTTTCAAATCCCTTAATTGCCTTTTTAATTACGGACAACCATGCACGGTTCATGTTACGGTCCGTATAAATAAATGAAGGGGCAGAGTTGGGCGGTTAACGTTTTACAATTTTGTTAATTATTATCAAACTAAATTTCATTTGAATTGCTACAATGTTATAATAGGATTTTATTTCGAATCAGTTACAATCAGGGCAATCAAAATGTCACACGGCAAAATATAAGTTGGTCAGTGATGTTACATTGTACATTAGGATTGTTAGGTGCCAAACAGAACACTTAATTATGTAAATAAAAAAAGTGGGAAAAAAAAAGAAAATTTGCGAGTTTTAGTGGGAGTAGCACTCTGTCATTGAAAAACTTAAGTCTCACAATTTTATCTTTAATAATAAACCACATTTTGGGATAGCTTAAATAGTTTTTAAATTTTAAAGTTTTTTTATAGTGCTAATCTCTGCACTTAAGATCGAACATTAAAACGTGTAGAAATTCGTCGGCCGAAGACGGGTTCGATTCCCACGGCGGCGACAATCTTTTCGTACTTTTTCTACATGTTTTAAAGCTTAAATAGTGTTTATATAATCTTGCAACTAAGAAAAGCATTATTGTGCATAAACCTACCATGAGATTGATTAAGTAGAGTAGATCTAATACGATTAAGTTAAAATAAAGCGATAACTTGATTTTTTGTTCGATTTGTCGTTTTATATTCACACACTAAGCAAATATTCGCGGGGATCCTTTGCGTGGGCAAATATTGAAAATACCCGAGCGCATTGCGGGCGAAATATTTTTTTAATATACACGCCGCCGCCTTTGAAAGAAGTCTTTTGAATAGGGGAAGTTCCAATATAGAGACGGACATAAAAAGCAATAGATTGTACTAGGGTAGCAGCAGCCGACGGAGCGTTTTGTACCTCGTAATTTAATACTCTCTTTGAGTGAAGGCAATTCAGAGCAGCTCGTGCAATTGATGTCACGTGGATTTTTTTAATCCAATTAGTTAGGATTTCATTACTATTTTGTTTGGGTTTATACAAAGTATTAAACATGTTTATATGTTCATACTGCTTTGCCGCATGTGTATTCATGTCCAAAGCAATAAGTTTTAAATACAATTTTGCAGTTAGGTGAGAAATAGTTTAAGGATACCTTGTAAAAACTAGTACAAACTACCGTGTATATTTATCGCAAAGACATATTATGAATAATTTTGACGACACATATTGTAGTTATTATAAATTTAAGATCTACATCCCACATCTATATAAATAAGCGTGGGAAATTTCATACAGCTCCGTCCGCGCAGTTTTCGTAAAAAGGGGATACAAAGTTTTCGCTTCACGTATTCGTATATAGATTACAGTATAACACACGTGTCCTTCGCGCTTTCTGGACAAAGTATTCTTGGCCAGGCGCTTGCCCGCGATGAATCGGACATATTTTATCGTTGCAATAACATTTTACGAAGCCATTTCGCGCGCAATCGCCACTAAGCTAACCGAACGATTTCTAAAAACGACACTAAGGAGATCAACAGACCAGTGAACTCCCACTCGGCTATTTAAAAGAAAACAAAGAGCACTCGTTCCTTTCAAAGGAGCGAGGGCCACAGTAGGGTTGCGCCATTCCGGACGGGCGAAAGAATGCAACTTTATCTCGTGGCAGCCTTTGTGGTTGTGGAGGCGAGGCGGGAAGTGTGCGAGAGGGGCCACCGGAAGTCCAGACGGGGTCCTGCTAAATTACAATCCGCTTTCAAATTGTCTCTCCGCATTTTACTTGTTTCTCTATTTTAAATTTCGAACGGCGTTGTTGTTTTTATTACCTTGACTAAAACGTCGACACTGGCCTTTTATCACCGATTAAATTAGAAAAAAAAATCTCTTAAATAACCAGACGGACACATCCACTGTATTAAACAATATTTATCGAATATCTAACTGTTGAAATTTGTTAGAATGGAATAAAGTTAGGACTGATGTTAATCCTATAAAATAAATTTCAAATAGAATTGGCCATGAAAATGACTGTGTTAATATATATTATATTGTTGTGACATAAATTCCTAATTGGATTGGCATTACCAGCTGAGTAATAGTTTTTCACTTGGTAACAACGACCGTTAAGTTCGTGCTAATTGCGGCTCTATTGCAGTCCAGCTTGAGTCAGTCGTCTTTTATTAGGAATTCACGAACGCTTATGGAAATGAAACTCTTTTCAATAAGAAAAGAAGAATAAGAGACCTCACCGCGATGACTGGTTTGTCGAGTCAATTCATATTTAAATATTTCAGAAAATTCCGAAATGTCTTCAGATTCTAGAAAAAAAGAAACGATCGAACAAATCAACAGAGAAAGAAATTTTAAAACCCGATACAACATTTGTGAAATGATATAAAAAAATCATTAATGAGTTATTTGTATCCAGCATATAAACAAATGGAGGTCCATTTGTTTGCGAAATTTGCATGATAAACTGGTGAACGCAAGAAGGCGTCGATGCAGTAAAACATTCGATACAACACGTGAACACTAAGCTCGCGATTCGAACGACCGACGAGACGGTACGAACGCATAATGGCCTGAGAAATAAAGCAATAAAACGGGCGCGTTTGGGAAACGTTAAGAGTTCGTCGCTAATAAAAAATAAACAGACTCGGCACTGTTGATTTTGGACATCGCGGGCTTAGTTATTTTTCGCACGAAAACGCAAACGTGAATCCGTTTGATTCGTGTATAAACTTCGGCCGTTTAGTGGTCGCGTAATTGGAAACGACCAATTGTATGACATTGAATGTGGCGGTTTGAACTAAGCTGGGTGTAGAACACCACAAAGCAGCGGCCGTACGAGCAGCTAACAGAATGCAGAACAAACGGCCTCGTTAAGAATTAGATTAGTTTATGATTATTAACAGTATCAAGTTATTTCATTGTATTTTTATAACTGACAAAACATATTAAAGATCCACCGTATATTTTTCTATCCACGGTGTTTGCATTAATGCAAATTTAATGTTAAATTGCCTCATATTTTATTTCTCTTGCGAAAATTTATTTTATATATATAAAAAAAAATAAGTTAGGTCAACCCTAATAACGTACCTAACTATAACGAACATTAAAATTGTTCGTTGTAATCAGTTTATAACATTTTGTGCTTCTCTATTCATTTACCGTAGTCCAAATTAAACCTTTATGTAGACTTTGTAGACGTTTTGAGTCAAGTCAAATTCTTCTCTCAATTTGCCTTTCTCGGCTATCACAATCGGTGTCGACGGACATGCTATTTTAGCTTTGTATACAAAACCTGTTCCATATCTTAAAATTCTTTCTTAACATTTCATACCAATTTCCATCATCATTCATGTGGCAGAGACGGTACGCCATATTTAAAAACATATTGTATGATACAAAAACATATTTATGCGACTGATATCTTTACTTTATCTTTTATCTTTCAAAATCGCGCGAACAAATTATGCTATCTCATTACGCAGCCTTTTTCTAATCGCCATGATTTTAGTTAAAAAGATTAAAAGCGGCTAAGCTTATGACAATGCGGAGACAAAGAGGGGTAGCACAGATAACGTCCAACAGACACCCCTTAATTAGCACTTTCTTCCGTTACGAAGTCCCTCACACCATGGACTTCGTCTGATAGTAAAACAAGTACAGATACTTAAATTAAAACCTATGTTGAGGTTTAAACACGACCGAATGTTAATTAAGGAATTCCGTTTTGTGTTCGCTATTCAAAATTAATTCGTTAACGCTTTTCTGTAATTTATCGCAGTCATTAATCTAAAAGTAACATCAACCAAAACAGCTATTAGTTGAGAGTCACAGAGACTTCAAAAATACATTAAGGTCATTGTTAAATATAGACATTATTAAATACGGATTTCGTAAAGAATACGTCGCAACAGATCTAATCTTGTTTATTGAACAGAAGCCAATCGTAGCATTTAGTTGGAAAATTAATTTATACATTAAGTAATACGTTGTAACTTTTATGATGTGTGCGTTATATTAATCAAAGTTTGCCTTTCTCAATGGTAACAAATATGCAATTGAAACCAACAAAAACATATTTATTATAATGACATGCTACGTCTGAAATTTTCTTTTATAGCCTGTAAGCATTTTATTGCATGTAAGCGAAATATATTTATTAGAGTGTAAACAATGACGTAATGTTTTCACGTAAAGTATAAAACAAACATACTTTGGTAAGTCGTGTTTTATAATATTTCAGTTAAATAAAAAATCACGAAAATATATAAAATTGTTCAAACAAACGCTGTTACTGTATAAGAAACGATATTACTGTTTATTTATAAATTTATATTAATATTTAAACAGTGTAAATTTATAAATTGACACTATTCATAATATATATGTATTAAAAGTCGAAACTCAAATTCATATTATTATAGCGGATGTAATAAAATTTTAATATTTTTTATGCTGTAAAACTGTTTACCACAACTTATTATTTAATATTCAAATTATTTCATTTACATATTATATAGAGCTGGTTGTTCACGATTATTTTAATGACGGATGAACGAGTTGTTTCGAAGAAAAACGTAAACAAACGTTTCGAGATTTTTTTACTTGTAAATTACTGAATCATTTAAGTATGTATTATACCATGTGCAATGCCATTTTACTCCTCAACGTAAAACACGTGAATTTAACTTAAATTATAAGAAAACATAAAATACTTGCCTGTTTAAGAGACCTGCAAGAAGGTAAATTTTTTGTTAGATGATGTAATCGTGTTGTTGAAGTTGCCCTATATAATTTTAAGTTTAAAATAAAACTTAATTCAGATAAATCAAGGCAACACTACGTACACACAAGGAGAAATCCTTTATATTAACGGTGGTAGGGCCACGCAGCAGTAAAATGGAAGTATGACAAATATACTTTCGCGTTTCGTCTGGTGAGTGAGGTAGCCGGAGCCTAATTTTCAAAAGGTTGTCAACGTATCTGTAACCCTCGGGTGTAGCAGATGTCCATGGGCCGCGGTATTGACTTCCCATCAGGTGAACCGTCTGCTCGTTTGGCAACTTTTCACATAAAAAAAAAATAATAGAAAATTGTTATGGGCTTGTTTCATCAAATGGTAGGCAACGATGACATTATTTGTAGAGGCGATTTAAAGTGCTTCATAGTCAATAACCGTCGAGAAAACATTTACGGGAATGCAACAAATTATATAGATCAGGCGGTTCACCAAGTTTTCGCGGATTGCGTCATCTTGTTCCCATGTCCGTGGCCGATGCGAAAGAGGTAGATGATACGTTTTTATTAAAACATTAAAATTTGTAGAAAAAGTACGAAAGGTTTGTCGCCTCTGTGGGAATCGAACCCACATCTTCAACATTCGCCGCCTGACGCTTTAGACACTAAACGGCTGATTGCCACACCGACGAAACTCTTAACGTCTTTCATATTACCTATTATTATTTTTTGGCATTTGAAGCAATGCTTGGCGCATCCATTTTTATATCCTTTCCAGCAGTAAAACACTTTCGAAAATCGTTTTACAACGATAATTCGATCGAGAGATGTCGCCATTGCTTTTTAGAAATTATTTTTTTTATTGTGCTAATCTCTACACTTAAGATTAAACATTAAAATTTGTATACGTTGTTAGTGGGTACCCGTCTTGTTCTAACTGGGACTCCTAAATACCCCTGCCGCTCTCTCAATCTAGTGGTAGAGGGTACATAAAGGTTTTTTCCTACTTTAAAAAAAGGTAGTTGATCTGATGTTGAATGATTGACACTACCTTTTATGGCCGTTGACCCTGATTAATTTACTAGACGCAATGCATAAGTATTGATACGTCTACTTCTGCCTACAAAGCAGCTCAATATTGGGTCAGCAGAAGCTACATGGCTCTACCACGATAGTTTCGCTCTTTTATGTCTTTACTTTTATAACTCTATGAGAAAAGTAAGCAAGCGAGCAGGTGGTACACCTGATGTTAAGTGATTATCGGCGCTCATAGACATCAACAACACCAAGGTGCTGGATATAAGGATTTAATATATGATTTGTATCCAATTATAATATTATTTCCATATATATTCTCTTTAATTAAAATTTTATTATTCTTGTATCTTTTGCTGCACCTACCCATAAACTCTCACCACATCCTGGGTTGACTGGTAGAGAATGCCTTTGCGCATTAAGTCCGCCCTTTTTTACCTTGTTTTACTGATGGTTGGCAATAAAGATTAAATAAATAAATAAATAAATAAATATAAGGCAACCTCTTAAAACATGGCCCCAGTTACCCCACTAACCGGACAAAACGCAGAGGTATAACACTTCCACTTCGCGTTTCTCTTATGTGAGGTCTTGCTACTTCCCCGGACGCGTTTGCCCATGCGTACAGCAGTGGAAACTGCTGCGGTTTTTTTTTTTTTTACAGAAGTATTACACAACGGGATCATCCCATAAACTACCGACGTAGCGGATTTTAAAATCCCGAATTATACAAATACGAGAGCAAATATCGCGGTACGGTGGAACAACGGCTTCATATAATTAAAGCGAAAATATTCCGCGAAACGAACCGACGCGAACGAAACGACACGACGACCGCCCGAAAACGCGGCAATTTTCGCCGGCGGCCATTTTCGTGCAGCCGCGCGGGGTAATAAGATTTATAATCTGTGCCCACCGCGTGCCTCATACACATGCCGCGTATTTTGCGCGAATAATCATTTAGCATTTCCCTAACGGCTGTATGGAACGGAGAAAGTATTTGCTGTTTGTGTTTGGCGTAGTGATAAGTTATTTGGCTAGATTACTACTAATGCTCATTTTGAACACTTGAAGGCATTTTAACAATCAAAAATAATGCGGTGAAAATATTTTTATGAGATTAGAAACAGAAAAAGAGCTTTAAACTTTAAATTGTAATGTACAGTTATATAAAACAAAGATTAGTTTTTTGTTTCTTATAATAATGAATATAATATAACATTGTAGTCAAGTTCATTCTTCTTCATGCTTATTTTATTACCTTCAACAATTATTTCAATCTTTGATTTTAACCAGTCATTCCATTCATTCATGTAAAATAAAGAATATCCATTTCATTAATGAATTGTTTTACAGAACATAAATTTGGGAGACGGAGTAAAAAAAACCCCCCCTTTCAAAGTTAAAAAGTAGCTGAGATATAAAACTTTCAAATCCCTAACCGAACAAGTCGGCTTCCATTCGCCATATAAAATGTATACCGATGGCGCGCAGTGGGATACGCCTGTTTATTCCAAGATTTAAAGATCTAAAGACCGGAGCGGAGAGGGAAAAACGACGTCTGTTTCAAATACATTCCGACCTTTCGGATTTTTGATGATACAGACTTATTTTGTTTCATATTTGCAGATTAAGTAATTTGGTTACTTAGTAAAAAACCACCAAATATCAAAGCAAAGAGAAATGTTATAAATGCCCGCTGTTGTACTGTAAAGCGTAAATGGCTCGTGCAAGCAGCGTTCTTGCAACTATACCACATCTAGTAGTTTTGTTGGAGGACTTGTATTATTTCATGATATTAATAATGTTTAAGTTTTCAAATTCACATAAAATATAACAGCATATACATACATACCCCATTGCTGGAAACATCTTTACTTCCTTACTAATATTATAAAGGCGAAAGTGTATGTATGTATGGATAGATGTTTGTTACTCTTTCACGCAAATGCTGAATGGATTTTAATGAAACTTTACGATAATATAGCTTATACATCAAAATAACACAATATATAATTTAGGTACATATTTTATGTATATCTTATGTCTTTCTATCTGAATGTTACGCCTTCAGCCTATTCTTCGCAGAAGTAGTCGCGGGCAGCAGCTAGTACATTAATAAGCGTCTATTACCGTCGGTTCGAGTTTAGCTTAGGCAGCTCAATGCGTGTCTTCCGTCGCCTCCGCTCTCGGGTGAATGATATATATCTCGTCTAAAAGATATATACGGACTCCTTGGCGACGCTCCCTTCCTGCTGTAAGTGCCCCATTTTTTACTTCGTTACCCTTTCGAACGCACGAACAAAACGCGTTCGGGCACCATTTTGTCCCGTTCTGATGTTGTACTTATTTATTATTTTATTCACACAAATCTCTATCACATTGTTTCATTCGCAAAAATCTCTATCAACAATTATTTTACAACTTCTATATATTGGCCGTCTTAATTTTGAACATCTATCGGGCTTGTCATCACTATTCGTTTCTCGGGTCTAAACATAGCTTTCCTCAGCTATAGTCCACATACGGCAAATGGTGAAATTTCTTGAACGTTTCAATACAATTTAGAAAAGTGACCAAACATTCCAACTTATCCCTTTAAG